CAGTCTCCCTCTCTTCTCTTCCTCTCCCTCTCTCTCTCGTCCTCCTCATCCTCTCTCCTCTCCCCTCTCCCATCACAACAAATCCTTTAAAATCACAATCCTCAATTGGCTGCATCCCTTTCCTCAACCAAAACCTCCTAGTCTTCCAAGTAAACTATTTACATCTGAATATTTGTGTCTGGGTCAAGTTCTGGAGGAACCCAAAGTGAGACATGCATGTGTGTGAGTATTATATGAGAGAGAGAGAAAGAGAGAAAGAGAGAGAGAGAGAGGAGAGGGAGACTGAGAGAGAAAGAGAGAGAGAGAAAGTATGTGTGTAGCTGCTGGTAATTTGGTTCTAGTCAAAGTGACCCGATGAACAATAGGATGAAATGCTGCCTAGTTCTGCCTGGGCCACTCGCATGATCAGTAGGGAAACTGGCCTTTTGCAACCCATGGAGTTTTGAGTGGCTGGTTTTTGGAAGCACATTGCCAGGCTTTTCTTCCTTGATCATTCTGGTCTGGAAGATCTACTGAATTCTGTTCAGCACTACAGGGACAGAGGAGTTTCCCAGCAGGTGGGTGCTGACCAATCACGAAGTGGGCTGGCTGGGAATCAAGCTGCATCTCCCACATGGACAGGAAAATTCTACCTGTGCTTATATCTATATTTGTGAATATATGTTCATGAAAACCTCACGTCTGAGTGACAACAAACTTCACTCTGGCTGTGTGTGTTTCCCACATCTCATTCGTAGTAATACATACTACACAAAATGTTGTCATATATAATTTGCTGGTGTCATCATTCTCAGATGTTCACTTGCAGAAGTTCAAAGAATGGATTGGAAAAGATTTTTAGAAACAAGACAAAAAACAGACTGTTGTTGAGTTGAGCCCAATAACTCTACTGGTTGGAGTGAAACTTGCTCAGAATTTTCAAGGCTGCACTGTCAGATCTTCCCCCCCTCCCACAACGAAGCAGTTGGGTTTAACCTGCTGACCTACTGATTACCAGTTTGTGATTTGAACACTGTGACATGAGAATTCCCTTTACTGATAACACAAGGAAACAATAACAAAAACTAGGGAAAAGGGAGCTCTGGTGGCCACAGTCCCAAAGCCACGCAGTTCAAATCCACCAGATGCTCCTCTGGAGAAGAAGGGGCAATCTCCTCCTGTGCCAGTCGGATCCTACTCAATAGCACACAACAAGAAAAAGGAAAGGAAAAGAAAGGGAAGGGAAGGAAAAGGAAAAGGAAAACAAAAACGAAAAGGAAAAGGAAAAGAACTAGAACACAAAAGATGTCTTCAATTTACCTCAAAACTAACTTACAGCAGATACAGAGAAATGGAGCCCTTTGTAAACCAAACACTATTTGTATATGCAGATAAACACATTTACACTATGCATACAAACACACACAAATACACAACAACCCCATGCATACCCAAGTAGTATATGTGTTCATATATAATTGTGTTTATAAATCTATATACAGTATTATCAATTTTTTGCCAAATAGGAGCAAATTCTTATATAACATTCTTTTTTTAACATTGATGAGAGAACCTACAGCCTAGCATTTCCAAACAGCCCACCCTGTCCCGTGACCGCTTCAGTGGAGTGTTTGGCTTCATACAATTCCTGTCTAATGCCCCTCCCCAGCTCTGCCTCTCACTCAGCAAGATGGCAGCTCACACCTCCACAGGGTCGTCCACAGCCAAAGGCCCCAGGCCGGCAGCCAGGCCAGCACTGGCGAGGCCTGCACCTCACACACACAGGCCAGGCCAGGCTGTGAAGACTCTCTGTCCTAACACAAACACCTCCCCAGTTACTACGCACAAGGAACAGATTTTTATGGCCAAGACATTACTTCCTCCCACCCCGTTACATCAAAAGATAGCTGGGCGGGGGGGGGGGATTAAAACCAGGCTATTTTAATAATAATCCACAAAAAAGAGTTTACACCTCAAATTTTACACTCAGAAAGAAAATCTGCTTTTATGATCCTCTCTCATGCACAAGCCTACACAAGAATGCCCTTCTTCCTTTATGTTTATTCTATCAGTTTAAAGACTAGTATCAGAAACTAGGGCTTTGAAGTGGTTCATTCAGATAGAAACCCTGCTGAGAATTTGCACTTCTACCAAGATATACTGAACCAGAATCTACCTTTTATCAAAATCCCCAGGTGATTTTTATACAGATCCCCAAGTGATTTTTACATATGCATTCACTTGACCTTGAGTTGTGCTTCATGCAGCCTGCATGTGGTTTAAAGAACACAGGAAATCTCAACGCCTGGCGTACCTTTGACTCTGTAGGTCCTGCTCATAGAATCTCTATTGTCATTTCCAGATGCAGCATCAAATAACTTTAAATGAATAAATTGAGTAAAACTGTACAAACTTCCCACTCTTCTATCTTCTTCATTCTCTCCCCAAGGAGGCTCAACTGTCCAGCTTTAGCATGCTTTTATCAGAGAAACAAATCTTTCAGATGCAAGTCTGGAACTTCCCATTGATAGATGCCCTGTTTTTCATCAATGAGCTCTCCCTCAAAATAACATCAGAAAGCTTTATAACAACTAATAACGAAAAAATGAAGCTGAGAAATGTGCAGTGTTTGACAGCAAATTATTTACATTCAAAAGTCTGTTTGGCATGAAGGGAAAAACACTGATACTGAATCTGGGTATAGAAGTTTCTGTTCATTTTCATAACATAACAATAAAACTGCTTTATGTAACATATATTTAATACATAGTGCATGTTTATATATTGTTATATACTATATATTGCATTATATATGTTATGTTGTTGTCGTTGTTGTTAAATGCCATTGAGTTGTAGACAACTCATAGCAACCCTATAAATGAAAGACCTGGACACATTTATAACTTTCATCCTGTCTCCAGGTTCATAGGGTTTCCAGAGCCAAGCTATTTTGGAAGTGGATGCCACTCCTGCTTCCAGGCTTGTTTTAATCAGGGAGTTCCTCCAAACACTGTCCACCATGGGTAACCATTACTGCATTTGACACATCAGTGTCACAGTGTTCAGCTTCACAGCAACAACAAGTTACCTCTGAACAGCAAGTGGACAGACCAGAGCTATATGACCTAGAAGAATGTTTGACCAAAAACAATTAAAAATAGGCCTGAGGGCCACAGATTCATTTTCTGTCCACTAGGCCAACTGATCTCTCTCTACCGTTATTGTGAATTGCCGTCAAGTCATAGGCAACTCATAGCAACCCTATAAATGAAACACCTAAATGCTTGTATAACTTTCATCCTTTCTCCAGGTTCATAGGGTTTCCAGAGGCAAGCTATTTAGGAAGTGGATGCCACTCCTGCTTCCAAGCTTATAGAAAAGATAAATGTGTGTGTTAAATATTACACATGTGTAATTAACTCAAAAAACTTAATTCATTGTCTTGGAGTTGAAACTGACTCACAGTTGACCCTCCAGTGGGTTTCAGAGGCTGTGCTCACATGGGAAGAGTCTGCCTATTCTATCACAGAGCAGCTGGTGGATTTGAACTGCATGCCTTTGGTTTGCCAGCACAACTACTTACTCATTAGGCCACCAGAGTGTCTGTGCATGTAAATATATGTGTGTGTATATGTATGTGTGCACATGCGGAGATATAGATGTATACATGTTTATATACAAATATGTGAGTCTACATATTCATTTATATATACATATACATGCATATATGTGCGTGCATGTGTATATATACAGATACATGTATATGTGTGTATATAGAGGTAGAGATAGACAGAGAGAGAGACATACATTATCTGCTTTTTTATTTTCCTAGCTATTTATCTCCCTGCCTCTTCCTCCCTCCTTAAACTTTCTCTCCTATAAAAACCACCACTATTGATTAAGTTTACTGTAATTTGTACTCTTATTAGGTTGTGTGTAAATAATGTGTGCTATAGGAAGAGGTAAATATTTTAGAAGACATGTAGAAAAACGGCAGATACTTCAGTTATGATTATGTTCACATGTATCTGGTTTGGTAAAATAAAGATGCTTCAGTTCCATATATATTATATGTATATATTAATATTCTAAGATGCATAAATTGTCCTGAGTGACTTGAGAAATTTGTGATTTAATGTGAAAGATTAAAAAACTCACTCTCCACTGTAACTCAGTTGGAGCAGCTGGTTGAGAATAAATTCCCCATCATCATCTTCACCACGACCACCACCATTATTATGATGACAGATTATTTTACGACAAATTTCCAATATATTAATTTTTTAAAACTTCTAAAATAAAACACATGCCAAATCCTTCTTGTCAGCCATAAGCACATTTAGGAAGTAGATTAAAAGTTAGCAGCACTTAGGAAGACGAGTCAGGGCTTCTCCTCACTCATCTCTCTCTGTCCTAGCCCCATAGTTAGGGAAAAGTTTCCTCCTGTCCATTTCTCCCAAGCATAACTAGTGAGCTTCAGATCAAATTCTCTTCCCCATGGAAATCCTGAGGCAAGCTGTGCTCACCCATCTGCCTCCCATTTGACTTTATTAAGGATTCAATAGCTGCTTCAGCAAGAAGCATCTCCGTCCTAGAGAAGTGAATTTTCCCACAAAGGAAGGCAAAGTAGAAGAACATCAGTCTCTACCCTCATTATTTAAAGCAGTGGTCTCAACTAGGAGCAATTTTGCTCCCAAGAATATATATGTGGATACACTTGGGGTTGTCACAATGAGGAGCAAGCAGGTTACTTCTGGCATCTGGGACTTAATGGGTCGATGTCAAGAATTTCACTAGATGTCTTACAGGGTACAAGGTGGATCCCGGAACAAAGAATTACCCTTCTCAGAAGGTCAGTCACTACTGCCTTAGAGTGTCAAGCTTTTCTTGGAGTGTACGTCAGGGAGGAGAGGGACAAAGAGGTAGTGCAGCCTGGGGGAGTCTTTGTGAGTTCCAGCAACAGCTAGCCCAAAAGAAACACCCCTATAACTACCACAGAATCATGGCAGTACTTACAACACAAGAACACTTAGTGCATTTGTTTCCTTCTGGATGGAATTCTTCCCCTTCTTGGTACTGCACCCCTTCAAACACACAGCCTAGAAAATAAAACAAACTTTAGCATTAGGGCAATGGTCTTATACAGGTAGATAAAATCCTCCAAGTATTGTTCATCCATCTTCTAGCCTGACCTCCACGAACTTTGGGGTGCAATCCTCTTTTAACCAACGGACAAGGATGCTTCACAGTAAAAGCAGAGTGCAAAAGTTCGACATGGGACCAGATCATCCAAAGACACTAGAACAAATTATACAGTGGATTCTGAGTCAGTCCAAGGTAGAACAGTGCATATGGTGAACATATAGAGATATAGCGCTGCTTCGTGGGAGTGACTGGCTTTCTGGGATAGGTCATGCTTTATTCTGGGGTTTGCCCTGTGCATTGCAGGATGTCTAGCAGCATCCTTGACATCTACACAAACATCCTGGAGAGTCCAACCTCACAGCAGTCAGAGAGACAAACATAAGACCAAGCAAGAGAGGTACATGATAAGCTGAAAACAAAGATGATGAAAAGCTACAATTTGTTGAGGATCTGGGAGTTTCTCAACCTCTATCAGGCTTTTTTGTAGCCCTGCTGTCACTCAACTTCCCTGGGATCCTACAGAGTACAGTCTCATCACTGTTTCCAGATGAGGAGAAAGGTGGCTCAAAGACAAAGTCATCCACCTACCCAAGCTGGTGAGTGACAGAAATTAGACATACACTTGCCAGATGTCCCACATGGAGTTCCATCTTAATGGGGGAGCTGTTAAATGGGTGTGACTTGCACCGAGTTTCACTCATGATGTTGTTGTTGTTTGATGCCTTTGAGTCAGGTATGATTCATAACAACCTTATAAACAAGATATCTAAGTCCTTTCCTTTCCTGTGCCATCGTCAGCATCACAGACACAATGGAGTTCATTGCAGCAGTCACAAGATCATCTCATTGGGGGTCTACCTCTCTTTTGCTAACTCTTCACCTTTCCATGCATCACATCCCTTTCCAAGGAATAACCTCTCTAGCAACATGTTCAAAGTATGAAAGATGAACAAGAACTCTAGTTTCACTTTTACCAAGACACACTTAATCATTCTTTTGCAAGTCCATGGGAAATCCAATACTCTTCTCCAACACCACAACTCAAACGCATCAATTCTTGGCTCATAACAAGACCTAAAGGTGTCTTATGTTTAGATGGCTAACTCAGGACACTGCCATTTTCTGAAAAGCTCTCACTAACACCAAAGTATAGACTGGCCAGGAAGCCCTTCTCACATGGGCCCTGTGAGAACTAGCAGATAATGGCAAAACTATTTTCTCTGTATCATCCCACAAATCATTTTGCCAGAAGAAATGAAATCACTATGCTTTTCACTTAGCAGACATGCTGAAACCTGTGTGACCAGGGGTAAAACTCAAAAGGAAATTATTGTGAAGAACTGATTCATATCCTTGAGTGACAGTTTGAGGTCTGCTGATTGATGTAATCAAGATAGCTACCAAACTTGTAGAGCAGCTGACTCTTGACAAAGCAAACAAGCATTATTCCTACCCATTTGGAGGTCTTTGTTCAACTGAATCCTGGAGAGGCTCTTTGATCTCTCAATAGTTATCTCCCTTTAAAGGACACTTCCAACAAAGTGCCTTCCATTCTTGTTATATATCTGTACAGCCAATTCTATCACGCAGAATGCTAAAGAGATTCCCATCCACAACCTATATTCAACATCATACATAAAGGAATTTTAAGTAGAATAGAATTTTTAGAAAATTCTATGTGAACTGTCTCCATCACAACCTACTACTGCCCATGAGTCAGACAAAAAGGAAGGAGCAGACAAGCAAGAATGCTCCGAAATCTGGTTCAGGAAGAAACTGACCACAGACGGTACATGTTTGTCATTATGCGGAATGCCATTGCATGATCAGTGACAGATGCCAGTCCCTGGGAATCACCATGAAGAATACCCCAAGGCATCCGCCGACTGTCTCTATCTGGTCTTGGTCAAGGCCTCTTTCCCCAAAGGATAATGCATTCTGAACGTGCTCCATCTGAGTGCTTTGATTTGCACCACAAAAGTGACCTTTGATACTAACACTGATTCTTGAGTTCATTTAACGGCAGACAGAAGCCCAGAGGTGTCCACATACTAAGAAAAGGGTTTACTGTGTGGCACTGGCAAGCTGACTTTTTAAGATGTTCTTTGGGAAGGGGGTGCAAGAAGGAGTAGTATGGTAAGCTGGGGTGAAAAGAGAAGGTCCCGACCCTCACTCACTGACAGACCTCAGACATTTAGGCATTCTGGTTTGCTCTGTACCAGCTGCAGCCACCCTGCTGGTGGTAAGGAGTGAGCCTGTAATTGTGAAGCTCAGCCTTCACCCTCCTCTTAACAAGAAAACAATGAATGAGGCCAATGCTCCAGTGTGATCGTTTCCAATTGCTGAAACACATTCACTCTACTGTTGTGACCCACAGCTTCACAGCCTGAAAAACATGGCTATTGCCTAAGTACAGGGGCCTGCTGGAAATACTCTGAGCCAGTGGGCATCAAGAGCTCCATTTGTTAGTGCCATTCCATTAGGGGTGCTATTGTTGTAAGAGGATGGCTCTGAATTGATTCCAAATCAATAGAGCGACAGTCCGCAGACATGAGTATATTCTTATTTGAGATGTATTTGTTCTTTAAGCAGTGCTTGAAAAATAACTTCATGTTTGGAAGTTCATGTTTGGACACCATGTTTGGAAAGGTAGAGGGTCAGTGAAGAAAGGGAAGACTGTTAAAGATATGGAGTGACTCTAAAGGTGAGCTCAAGATGGCACAGGATAGGACAGGGTTCAGACTCACTGTTCATAGGTTAACTATGAGTGGTAGTCCTGATAACACTTAACAACATCAGTATGCGTTCTAATTCTACATGGCATTCAAAATTTATATTTTTATCAAAAGTCTGGTGGTTAAACCCGCCAGTAGGTCCACGGGAAGAGGATGTGCATTCTCCTCCAATAAGACTTACAGCCTCAGAAACCTGACAGGTTTGATGCGAGAGCAGTGGATCTTTTGTCGTTTGGATTGTATAAATGATTAACAAGTTCCACTGATAATTAAAGGGTTGGAGGTCTGAAACCATTTGAAGATACCTTGGAAGAACGTCCTGGTGATCTACTTCTAAAAACAAAAATCAGCCACTGAAACCTCTATGGAACCCTGCTGTTCTCTGACATGGAGTCGCTCTCCGTGGAGTCACCACGGACTGAAGAACAATTACCAAGATTCGATAGGAAGAAAAAAATAGTGGGGGAAAAAATAGTCTAGCAAGTTTTATTTGATAAAATGAAAAACACATTGGACTACTAAAAGCATTCTTTTATCTTCATCCAATTTAACTCATCCAGTAATACAAGCTAAAAACAAACAAACAAACAAAAAAAAACAACCAGTGTGAAAAGGAAGGTAATACACAGAGATGTCCCAGAAACCCAGTGAAGATTGACAAGACTAGACTTGGGAAAGGGATGCTGGTCTTCCACACATTCCAAACTATTCATGGGGGAGGCACCCGAGATCGAGGCAGCCTACCTTGACGTGGTACCTGAGGTGTTTCACAGAAAGGTTCACAGAACAAAAGGGCCTTTAGAGATTAACCTCAAAAGCATAGAGAATTCATAGTTAGTACCACTATTCGTGAGAAAAAGCACTCAGGGCAAAACCCTGAACATCAAACATCTGTCTGAAACTATCAGCCAGCGGCTTAAGGGATCAGAAGGAATCTCTCACCTCAAAATCCTCTGGCTTGTACCTAAGGGCAAGAAAAGATGCTGGAGGCCTCTGTAATCCTGTTCAGAAAAGTAAGCGGAAGCTCTCTAGCCAGTTGAAAGGAAAGGTTTTCTTGCTGTGGGCTAGGCACTGGGCCCTCTGCAAAGGACTGCATGTCCAGCTTGTTGCTCCACACAGAAAACTGAGACCAGCAAAACTGTAAATTCAATTCACCCAGGGACACAGTTCTCGATTTTCAGAAAACATCTGGTCACCTCATCACCAAGACTGGCTCTGGCCAAGGTATTGCAATATGAAGCAGTAAAAAGACATTTCTGGAAGCAAGGGAAAGCCACAGCCTTTTCTTCCAAAATAAGCGTTACCTATGGCCCTGTGGAGTGGAAAGCAGGCCTCTGGAGCTTGGAGGAGCCCCATGCCAAGACCTACAGCACATCGCTGCCTGGCACACTGAGGAAGCCAGCAGAACATTTGTATGCGAAGGAGTTTGCACCTCAGATGCATTCAGGTACAGCGCACAACATGAAGGAATTTCCAGTAAAAGGAGTGGAAGGATACACATGAAATCACAGATCCTTGAGAGGACACAAGAGATTTCCACAGCATCCTTCTGAATTGGGGAACCATCTAGTCTTTTCCTTCCCAAGAACATTACCTGGACACATAGGGCAGCAGGTTTCCAGACGCTTGGAAGGGTTTTTGCAATGAACAACGCATCGCACCTCAGACTCAGTGATGACGCCTTCCTACAAAACAGAACACCACAAGCAAAGTCAGCCTAGAGTTCCTGCTGAAGGAATCAGTCCCTTGTGGAAGAGAATCAAACTTTCATGAGTGAACTAACAAAAAGTGAGAAGGTGAAGAGAAGCCATGTCTAAAGGTATCTGTTATCTCGAGGTTTTGGCTTTGATAAGACAAGATCACTCATGCCTCACACCAAAAGACGCTTTAGAATTCAGGGTGCAAATCCTGCCATTACCCATAGACTCTTTCTTACTCTTAACCTTTCTCTTTAGTTCTCATCTCTGCTTTTAAATCTAGTCAAATTCTTCCTCCCTTCTTGCTAACAGAGACCAGCTATTTGTCCACAAATTTGTAATCTTTTTAATATTGGCTATGGTGGCCTAGTGTTAAGAAGCTGCACTGCAAACCTAAAGGCATGCCATTCAAATCTGCCAGCTGCTCCTCGGAAGAAGGATGGGCAGTCTCCTCCCATGCAATGGTACAAAACAACAACATTTCTATAATGAATGTAGTTCACAGCATGCTGCACTGCTAATCAAAAGACAAGAGCCTCCAGAGGTTCCAATCCATCAGCAGCTCTGAATGACAAAGGTAGTCTCCTCCCTTAAAAAAAAAAATGTGTGGCCTCAGAAACCCAGTAGGAGGTTATTGTGCATCAGATTCTACTTGATGGCTTTGAGTGCTGGTACTTCTGTAATTCCTCTTCAATTTCCAGCCATTAGTTATGAGGCACAGAATGCAATACATAATCCCCAAACCGGGCATCTGACAGCAAGGTCCTTACTACCCTGCAATTAGCAGTGTCTTCCACAGTGTCTTCTCTATAATGTCATTCTTTTCCTGTTATAAGTAATAAGTAAGGAGCTCCTGTGGCCTAGTCATATGGAAATGTGCTGCCATCCCAAAGGCATGTGGTTCAAATCCACCAGCTTCTCCACCAGAGAAAAATGGGCTATGGCAGGTCAGCTAAGGGTCAGTCCTGACTTGATGGTACTTAATAACAAGTATTAATAGATCAGTTTCTCCAACCTTGATGATTTTACCCAACACTAAGAATCTGACACATGGAGCATTTTTTAAAACTAAATTGGGTCTCAATTTCCTCCATCATCAAACAAAGACTCCATCTCTTAAGAATGAAATCAAAACGGTCATTTGCAAACTGATCACAGGATTCTAATTAGGCATTTTAAGATCAATGAACAAGTTTTTAAATAAATTCTTATAGTTGACATTTAAACATTTCCCCCTATATTCTCTATTCATTTTGTGAATGGATTTGTGGCTTTTGTTTGTTTACTTTTATTTCAAGGGAGGAAGTAGTACAAGCTGAAAAAACATACAACAAGCATTTTGACAGTCAGGGAATTTTCTTGTGTCTGCTATCACATGGTCTTGATCTAGGAAGAAGTCTTATAGCCTTAAACATCTGCCAATCTGCCTGTCAGGCAGGCCTGACTTTTTCACAACCAGGGGGTTTTATTGTGGTGTTACATTTCAGAAAGCAAAAATAATGCTCACAATGTACATTTTTACAAAGGTTGGTGTGTTAGTTGCATAACCAAAGGAAGGCGAAAGACTGACTCAAGACCAATTTTTCTTGAAGGTCAAGAAAAATTTTCCTCGAAGATCTGCAATCCATACTGAAGATTCGGGTTCATTCCTATCCTGACTGTGACCTTCTGAAGTTCCTCTGCCATTTACAAAATTAAAATTGAGAAAATAAAGATATCATCACTTGAGGAAAGGCATCAAAAATTCCTCTGGCAGGAGACTTTAAAGAAAAAGATAGAATTCAATGCAATTGAAAACAAACCAAACCAAAGAACTATTTGTCATTTATCTGGCACCTGTTGTTGTTGCTGCTGTTGTTTGCTGTTGAGTCAGAATCAATAGCTCACCTTTCAGCAGGTTACTAATCTCACAGGAGGATATTTTCCATCCTTCTCCTACAAAGCCTCTGGTGGATTTGAACCACATGACCTTTGCAACTGCAGTGAAGCTTCTTACCACTAGAACACTAGAGCTCCCTCTTATCTGGCACCTGCTCCTATTGTTGTTAGAGGCCGTTGAGTACAACTGAGTGACTGTATGAACCACAGACCTGAATCACACCCATTATCACTGTCTTGGATATAATTGAGCACACTGCTACAATTACTGTGTCGATCCATCTTGATGGGGATCTTCCTCTCTTTTTCTTTTTTTTTTTTATCTTCCTCTCTTTCGTTGACCCTTAACCCTTCCAAGAATGATATCCTTTTCAAAGGAATAGTCTTTCCTAGCAACATGTCAAAATCCTTGCCTCCAAGGAGTAATCTAGCTGAACCTTTACCAAGACATTCTTTTGACAGTTCATGGGATATTCACTCTTCTGCAGCACCACAACTCGAAGGCATCAGTTCTTCTGTCATCCTTATTCATAATCCAGCTCTCAGATGCACAGCAAGTAAATAAAAAAATCAGGCACACACTAGTCTTCAAACTGACATCAATGCCCGTCAGTATTTTGGAGAGGTCCCAGACAGCACATTTCCCTGATGTAATGCATGTCCAGATTTCTGACTTCTGGTATCAAGCATGTTGATTGTTGACCCAAGTAAGATCAGATCATTGACAGCTTGAATATATTTTCAATCTATCATGATGTTCTTCACTGGCCCAATGACCAAGACCTTTGTCTTCTTGATATTAAGGTATAATCCATGTTGAAGGCTGCAGTCTTTCGATCTTCTGCAATAAGCGCTTCAAGTTCCCTTCATTTTCAGCAAGTAACATTGTGTCATCTGCATAGAGCAGGTTGTTGATGAGTTTTCCTCCAATCCTGATGCTATATTCTTTTTTATAGAGTCTGGTTTCACAAATTATTTGCTCAGCACACTGACTGAATACATACAGAGAAAGGATACACCCTTCTCAATTTTAAATCATACAGTATTCCCTTGTTCCGTTCAGATACCAGCTTCTTGTTCTAGGTATAGATTTTGTATAAGCACAATTAAGTGCTCTGGGTTTCCCACTCTTCTCAATGTTAGCCATAGTTTGTTGTGATTCACACAGTCAAATGTCTTTGCATCATCAATAACACACAGACATTCTCCTGATAATCTCTTCTTTCAGCCAGACTCCCTCTCACATCAGCAATGATATCCCTGGTGCCATGGCCTCTTCTAAATCCAGCCTGAATTTCTGGCAGTTCCCTGTCTATGTCCTGTTCAAGTATTTTCTGAACAATCTTCAGCAATACTTTGCTTGCTTCATAGATGTCATCAGACAAACTTTGGGCATGTTGCAAGGAGGGACTGGTCCTTGGAGAGGGACATCATATTTGGTAGAGTAGAGGGGCGGCAAAGGAGAGGAAGACCTTCGATGAGATGGATCAATTCTGTGACTGGAGTGGTGGGAATAAGTGTTTGAGATGGTTAGGGTTGTCAGAGGATAAAATGGCGTTTAGAGCCCTTGCACATAGGGTCGATATGAGTCACAAGTGACTTGATGGCACATAACAACAACAACAATATATGTAAATGCTCTATCAAAAGCATTTCTTAGGAATCTCATTTATTGCTTACAGATACCCTCTTCTAGAACTATGCCAATTTTATACCGAGAGTTATTCTTGCCTCAACTCATGGAGACTCTATGTACAGCAGAAGGAAATGTTGCCCTGCCTTGCACTGTCCTCACAATTACCAGCATCTCTTTTAGCTATCACTGTAGTTTCTGTGCCAATCCATGTCACCAATGAACTGCTTGTTCTCATCGGCCCTCTGCTTCGCAAAATACAATTTCTTACTCTCACGATTATTCTGTCCTGATGATGTAGCCAAAGCAAATATGTCAGTGTTTTTAATCCACAAGCTTTTCAATCACTAGATTGTAGGTGTAAAATCTTTTTGTCAGTTTCCTCTAAGTCTAGAAGCTCCACTGAAAGCTGTCGATGATGTGTGACAGTGCTGGCAGTACAAATACCAATGGCATAGCTGCCAGCACCACGGCAGCATGCAAGCCACCACAGGATGATCAACTGACCAATGGGTGGGGGATTCCCATTTTACTGGGAAAAAAGGAAGATTCAGAGAAGTTAACTTACAAGATAAGAGAATGGCTGGGCCTTTATTTTACCTATTACACAGTACTGTCTCCTCTGCTACTGATTTTTTGCCCAGAAAATAAAGAAGCTTAGAGAAAGAGGCTGCAACTGTGTCGTTCTGCAGAGGGGTCTTCACATGGAGAACTCTCAGAAGCACCAGTAAACAGTCATGTGCTTCCTGCATTCTTAAATGAGGCCCAGATCCTAAAGAAGACACAGTATGGGCAGGAGGATGAATGGGTTAACTGAGCAGAGGGACAATTTTTGTGTAACTTCTTAAAAGAGCTGCTTTTATGGTTAACAGATGGAAGGCTCTGGTTATACTGGGTAGCAAGGTTTAGTTGTGGTTTTTTTTTTTTAAAAAGGGACACAAAAACTTTAAAAAGGATGCTAAATTAATCCCTCTCCGGCAGGTATCACTTGTCTTCTGCGTCTCAGTCTGTCTATAATCTCTGAATCCCAGGACTGCTGAGACCTCTTTTGGTGTTAATTACTCTGTGTTCCTGCATCATTACCCTCTGGGCCTGCTGCCTGCGTGGCTACTGATCAAAGATGACAGGCAAAGAGAAGCGTCAGTGTTTACAGGGTGTAATAGTTTCATGTATTATTTGGTCAACAAAATATTCCCTCCTAGATAATAATTTCCATTTAACTTAACAAAGCCTACAGCCAAAGGTAGCAAGATTCACCCCTGGTCCGTGCAATCTGAGTTGCTCCCAGGCCTCCAACTGTTGTATACAAATGTTCTCCTCCACTTCAAGGGGCATGACGGTGTCTTGTTTAAAAGACATTAAAACAATGCCTTTCAGTAGGGTCCTATCCAAAAGTGGAATTTCACACTGATCCAAAGGCAGAGTATGGGTGGCTGTGGTGCAAACACCGAAATGAATTCTGTCTTTGATGTTATTAAAACTTCTTTCTCTGATTAATTGTTCCTTAGGTTGATTGACTATACAATCTCCTGAGTAAAAAATTCAGCAACTATTTTGATGCAATAAATAAATCTTTTCTAGTTATTCTTTCTACTGCTTGTTTTCTTAAATAATTTAGATTTACTACATAAATAAGTTACGTATATAAATGTAAGAACACTGCTACACAAAATTCCATTTCAGTAAACAAAGTGTCATTACACTCTAGGTCAAATCTGAATAAAATAGCCACTGCTCTAATTATCTTTTGGTCTCCTTTAAATACAAAGGCATTGCTATGCAGCTGGAATGGAGGAAAAGTGATATTAACAGCATCTTCTATACAGAGAAGAGAATGTATAAATATTCAAAATTAGAGGACAATTAAAAATACGACTCTGTCTATTGAGAAAAGAATAAGAATTTCCAAATTTAGGTTCTTCATTTCCACACTTCTTCCCTTGACTCCCCTCCCCATATTTCATTGCTACTGCAATCCAGCCACGTGGAGCTCCTGCTCTGTGCACAGACCAGCAGGCACCAACCTCAGCAGACCCCTTAGCAGCTGGACTATCGGTTCTTCACTGTGTCTGGGTGAATCACTGAGGTTTCTGTGTACTAATTACTGAGATTTCATACAGCCTCCAGAATGGCTCTAGTTCAAAATTTCTAAATCAAAGAGGGAAAACACACATCCTCTAACAATAATACCTTTTTTCTGCTAACAGGAATTGGCATTTTGCTCAAGGTTGACTTCACAGGAAGACACAGATTTTCCCCAGGGACATATGCATCTCACCAGAGTTTTTCCAGGCACAGTTTAACAATACTGAACAAGTCCACTGTGTGTTTCTGCAACCACTTCCTATAAAAGAGCTTCACGTGCACACATCCATCCTATCAAGGTAACTGTCACAATAAATACTTACAAGGATACAGGTTGGGGATTTTTTTTTGTCTGCTCTTTATTTTTGTTTGATTTTGGTCTTGGGTCTTCTGAAGGGAAGACAATGAATTCAATTTTATTGGAGAATAAAATCGTTGGGAATTACCTGGCACTGGCGCAGAATACAGGGTTCAGTGGGACTCTGCCATTTGGAGGAGCTGTTATATGTATTTCCTTCATAGCTGCAACCTAGAGAAGAAACAGAGAAGCAGAAAGAAAGTAAAGAACAAATCTGACTTACATTTATCCTTGGAAAGGAAAAGAAAAAACCAATCATGTTCTGTAACCCAGGACTAGGAAACACAGAAGCCTCTGGGTTCCTCGGCTATTTCCCCCAAAACACAACTGCTGTTTTTGGTCAGAACCAACCCACAGCTGACCCTCTCTAGGTTTCCAAAGGCAATTAATCAAATGAGAGGAGAAAACTGTGTATTATTCTCCCATAGAACAGCTAATAGATTTGAACACTGTACCTTCAGGATAATAGTGCAGCTTCTTACCACTAGGCCACCAGTTCCAGTTAGCATTAATTTACTTTCATTCTATGACCACTTCTGAGAGGGTAGATTAATCTCACTGACTATACATTCAGAAAGCCATGGTTTAATGAGCTCCACAGGCCAAAATGCATTAACCTTGTGACTATTTAATGAGTTATAAAGAGTACCAGAGCTAGAGAGACCACTGTGAGTGGTTTCAAATAAGACCAAATAAATGCAAAATTTCTGATGAGTAAGAGGTTAAGTTTAAAATATAGTGGAAAAATGAAAACTGGAATTATGTGAAAAATTCTATATCCTAGTAAGTCTCTTGACAAACTACTGCCCTAACCAGATAAAATCTTGTAAAACCTGCCAGCACTTTTATTTTACCTATAGGTGGTGAATTTCATTTAAAAAATTTAAATCTACAAGTGTATGAATTACTACTATATGTTAATTCATTAGTACAAAGCAAGAGTCATCTTAAATCACTGGCATAAATAGAAGCCATACTAAGTCATTTATAAAAACAGAAATCACAGGAAACAAGCCAATTAGTTTAAGTAACTCGAGAAAAAAAACACAGAAATTGCAGTTCAAGGATCACAGCTGTAAACTAAGCTGCCAACTTGAAGGCATGCAGTTCGAATCCATCAGCCACTCTATGGGAGAAAGATGGTCAATCTCCTTCCGTGTCGTTTACAGTCTCTGAAAAGCTGAAGGGTCAGCTATTAAGTTGGTTCAGACTTGACAGGAAATAATACAATTACCCAACTAGGATGCTCCTTAGAGGCAAGGCTAGTGAAACTGTGTTTTATGTATTTGAGACATGCTTTTAAGAGTTGCCAGTACTTGGAGAAAGACATCACGTTGGCAAAAGGAGAGATTTCATCAAGAGAGGAAGGCCTTCAACTAGATGGACTCACATGCTAACTGTAATGTGGGTTTGAAATGGCAGAGATTGAATGGTGCAAGATCTGACAAAGTTTTGATCTATTGTTCCAAAGGTGGATTTGAATCACAATTACTGTGACAGCACCAGCACCTCTTGTCAACAATAACAACTCTGATTTTGTTATTTACCTTATGGATCTGTGGTCTGCCTGACTTCTCTCTATTTCCTACCTACCTATATCACAATCTAAGTAGTCAGCTATATGAGCTCAGAATAATAAAACAAAAAAACATAAAATAATGAAAAATTAAAGATCACAACTGCAGATCTTGATTCTGTGGATGACCTCTTTTCAGCAGATGAACTTAAATCTGACTGTTGTGTGTTATCTAGTCAATTCTGACTCATTGTAACCTCTTACGATAGAGTAGACCTGTTGACATATGACTTCACAATCTGTAGTCTTCAAGTGAACAGATGGACACATCTTTTCCCTCACAGAGTCACAAGGGGGGATTCAAACTTCCAATCTTTTGGTCAGTTGTTGTTGTTGTTATGTGCCGTCGAGTCGTTTGCGACTCATAGCGACCCTATGCACAACAGCCCTAAACCCTGCTCTATCCTGTGCCAATCTCACTGCCTCTGACACACCCATCCCGATTATCCCAGTCACTGAATCAATCCACCTCATAGAGGGTCTTCCCCTCCTGCGCTGTTCCTCCACTCTGCCCAGGATGATGTCCCTCTCCAAAGACCTGTCTCTCCTTACAACATGTCCAAAGTATGTCAGGCGAAGCCCCAGAATCCTTGCCTCCAAGGAGCAGCCTGGTTTAATCCTCTCTAGGATGAATCTATTTGTTTTCTTGGCAGTCCATGGTACATTCAGTACTCTTCTCCAGCACCACAACTCAAAGGCATCAATTCTCCTTCTATCCTCCCTAGTCATTGTCCAACCCTCTGATGCATAACAAGTGATTGCAAAACCCATGGCCTGTATCAGGCGCACCTCATGTATTTTGGTCAGTAGCTCAGTGTTTAATCATTTTGGCTCTAGAGTTCCTTTACTATGTTTCTATTGTTGTGTAGCATCCAGTCAGAACCAACTCACAACTGACCCTCTAGAAGGTTCTCAGAAGAAGTCAATCCCAGCAGAAGAGACTGCCAATCTTCCTCTTGCAGAGCAGCTAGTGGATTCAAACTGTGTGCCTTTCGGTTGGCAGTGCGACTTCTTACCACTAAGCCGCTGGAGCTCTCTAACTTCATCTCTAGTCATTGGACATCTATGCCCTTGCACTACAGTTAAAATAAAGGCAAGTGGTTCAAACCTGCTCCATGGGGAAAAGATGGGCAATCTCCTCCCAGGCAATTTACAGACTCTGAAAACCTGCCAGAGTGTCACCTGCAAGGCTATTTTGATTCAACGGTACATAACAACTGTTGGATAGGCAAAGGGACTTCCCTATTATAATCTGGGTTTCTTGGCATGAGACAATACAGATATAAAAGGACCTTATTCTTGTACCAATGGTTGACTCTGGAAAATCAATCAGCCTCAATTCATTTTCATTTTTCTTGTCTAAAGCACAGACAGAATGACTTCCCCTTCTAAATTCCTTTTTATACTGCTGTGGTCAACAGAAATAAGTAATTAAATAAACTCTTTTAGCACTTGCAAACAGAATGACAGAGCCCTTAGAAAGATATCAATTTATGTTTTCACAAACTTGGGTTCATGATCTGAATTCTCAGAAAATTGTGAATGATCAAAAAATCCCCCATAATATGGTGCTCTCTGGTTCCTACAAATCAAATTACTAAAATACACAGATGATTAGAAACATATTAGGAAAATGCTTTCACTATATATTTTTTAATTTCCTTTGCATGAAGTATCACAGAGATAAAATGTTCAACCATAGGAACTCCAGCACATTACAAATACTTAGGCCAAACCAAGAATGAATAGAGTACATTTTCAACAACGAAAGGCAATATAAAACAATTTGGGCTCACATAACTCTTACCCAGCGAACGCACTTACAAAAGACGTGCCATGTGCATGTCTGATCCACTAAAAGACTCACTCGGATAATAAATAACGTGTTCTGAGGGGTGGAGGCGGGAAATCAGAGAACCAAATCCAATTCATGTTAAGTCCAAGTAAATATGAAGCGCGTGCCAAGTCTGCCAGCAGCGTTTCCAGCTATGTTATATATTTTCATCATCCAGATTAAAACACTGGAAGAAAGGGTGATTTTATGCTACTAATAGGGCAAGCAAAGATTTTGCCTTGTTACTTTGGAGGAGGAAGTATACTGAAAAAACCATACAGGCCGGGGGGAACTGCCGGCTAAGAGGGTGTTTCTAAGTACTACTAGTTTATGTGCAAAGGAGCGTCTGAAGCAGGATGCAGTGCACTGGATTATTCCATTCAATGCAGGATAAAAAGATATTGTAATAACAGCTGCACGTGCCAGGAACCAAACAAGGTTTCCTGCTTCAAAATAACTGTCAGCTGGAAAGCCGAACCTTCCACCATATTTTAACATGTAAAGAAAGATTAAGCAATAACACTAGCAAGTCAGACCATGGTCACATTGCAAAGTGCTTTACTGTGTCTACCATACCCAAGTCCATGATGGATCTCCCCAGATGTTTGTTGGATCTGAATAGACTGAATAGATTCTAAAGCAGCTTCACAGTAGCAAATGTAATGAATAGCTTTGCTTCTTCTCCTCCCCACACCAGCATCAGCTCAGAGACTTCCATATACGAAGCATTATAAAGGATTTCATACATAAAGGATTCTTGAGGATGAGAATAATTAAAGGGCAATTTCACAAGCCTCAGGACTAATGCTGTAAGATAATAAGATTATATCCTTTAAAGTATCAACCATAAAACAACAGTAATGTATTTTCTATATATTTACAGAAATATTTAGATCTACTTCTAATAATATCTATTATTATATATTATGTTTGTTGTTGTTATGTGCCGTCAAGTGCCCTATGTACAACAGCCCTAAACTCTGCTCTGTCCTGTGCCAGTCGCACTGTCTCTGACACTCCCATACCAATTATCCCAGTCACTGAATTAATCCACCTTATAGAGGGCCTTCCTCTCCTGCGCTGTCCCTCCACCCTCCCAAGCATGA